CCAGTTGCCGCCCCGCAGGCCGGCGCCAGCCTTTCCCCTGTTTAATAATTTACAGAGCTAACGGCAGGGCTGCGTGGGGTGAGGGTGAAGGAGAGTGTAAAGGTTGGAGCGTGCCCGGGGAGGCGGCTGGGCTGCGCAGAGCTCGTTTGCAGGGTGTTAGCATCTCAGCCAAGGGACGGGCAACGCATCCCCACAGGGGATCGCTGCTGGGGATGGGGAGACGCACGTGGGCTTCCCCCGCATCTGTAAGGCTTCTTGAGGGGCTTTGGGAGTGTAAAACCTGGTTGGGTGCTTCTGAGCATCACAGATTTGAGCGGTGGCAGTGATGCTTGCCTGTGGGTGCCCGGTCACTTTTGGGAGGCTTTGGTGAAAGGATGTCACCTCTTTTCCCCGTGGTCCGGGCTGGCCTTTCCGGGTCCCCATATCGAGGGGTAGGCGCTGGGGCTCCCGGTGTGGGGTGGCTGCGGGTGTCTCTGCACAACGATGCACCCCTTCCTTGGCATTAAAAGGGGTACAGGGGGGAGAGACCCCCCTCACTTACAGCACCGAGGGTTTACCTGGGGCTGGGAACAGCACTGGCAGGATGCGGCCCCGCAGCGGCTGTGTGGGATGGGGGACGTGGCTGCGCCTCGGCTCTGAAAACTTGTGGGTTATTATTAGTGCCGTAAGCTGGGGATTAGCGTGTTTCCCAGCTGTGAGCGGGACCGGGAAGGGGAGACAATATCGGGATGTCATTAGAGAAGGGGGGGAGTCCCGGTGGAAATACCAAGTCCAGGTTGCAAAACAATGCGCTTGGCCCTGCCAAACTGGGAGTGCGCTCCTTTGGGGGTGGGAGGGGAGCGAACCCGACAGGCTCTGCCTTGGCCCGGCGGCTCTTGCTGAGGGTGAGGCGAAGGGCTGCCCTTCGATCCTGAGTGGTGCTTCCAGGCGCTGGTTGGCATCGCTGTATCCCGTGCGCCCAGCGTATCCCTGCCTCGCCCTCTTGCTCTGGAGGTGAGCTTTGTCGCCTGTCCCAAACCCCGTCCTGTTGAGCACAGAGAGCAAAGAAAGGTTATTTCCTACAAGTTGGGATTTTTAGGAAGAGCGAAAGCCCAAGACAGCCTGTGGAACCTTTGTCCGAGCCTGTCGGAGCGGGACATTTGGCTCCTGCTGTGCTGGGGCTGCCTCTTCCCCGGGTGCCTACCCGAGAGCCCAATACATGGCATGACACCGCCATGGTGCCACAATGAGGGAAACCCTGGCAGGTTGGGAAGCTGCAAGTCAGGAGCGCGTCCCCTGCCTCGACGCATCCATGGGCAAAGCCTGGGAAACGGGGAGTGGGGTTCTCAGGCGGCTGCTCGCCCTGGGGAGTGCAGCGCAGGCAAGCTCAGGTTGTGTTTCTGGGTGGGATGCCCTAGCCAGGCTTTAGTGAAAGATATACAACCTGGGGAATGCCAGCAATGTCTTGGTACGTGTGGTGTGGGGCTTTTTCCCTCTGGGAATCCCTTTGCAGAGAGCTGGGGCTGACTCAGACTTGACCCCGAGCCCCTTGCCGCCTGCAAAC